CCCAAGTTTACAATGAAGACAACTAAAAGACTCAAAATGACCTGGACCTAAAAGACCTTTATTATATAAAGAACGAACTTTATTCGAAGACGCATGCCCAAGGCGAAGATGCCACTGAAAGCTGGACTTATTATCGATGACCGGAGCAGAAAAGGAGGAAGAACGAGGGATATGAAGAGACTCAAGCTCAAATACCGACCCATCTTGCGACCCGTCCCGAGAAGCCGACCCGTCTGTGTATCCTGAACTTGAACATCAGAAGAGAAAAATATAACAGTAAGACCTTGTTTAACCAATTGACCAAGTATCGTTCTGAGTTGCCCACTATATATATATTGAATATATATAGTGGGCAACTCAGAACTCATAACTAACACAATTTGATTTATAATAATATTTTGTCTATAAAACATATATGAATTAATTGTAGCATATTTTCTTAAATATATATATTTGCCATAGCGTACATAAAATGATGTCTATCATCCTTGAAATTTCAATTCGCTACATAAAAATTAAGTCAACTAAATAAATGATTTTATTTCCTAGAAATTGGAAGTCTATGAGACCTTGGTTTATTGTAAAAGAACAATATATAACATTTGAATGAAGAACTAAATTGCACGTCAATATGTATTTGCAAATTGGAATTTAAAGACAACTTTTTAATGAATAATAATCAAAATATTACATCCATCAAAATACAGAAGAGAAAAAATAGCAAATGTATTATTTGACGCGACTTAATTTGCAGCATCTAGCTATCTAGTAAATATGAAATAATGATAATTAGCTATATATATATATATGTATGTAATGACTGTTGGAAAATCGATAAAGTTCCCTACAATGACCTTATTGCACATTTGATCATTTGGTTGGCTTGGTGCATACTATACAAAATTATGTTGCACAGTTTAGTGTAGAAAGTGCGGGCTGAATGAGAATCCTGACGATTCGAAGCGAGGCTTCTTGCGTCATGTGCAAACCATCCCAGAATATGTAATTGTTTGGATTCGAGCAAACAGGCACACCACGACTTCCACAAAACCTTCTGCTATTGTAGTTGTATTTTCCTCCAATTCCACAACAAGCTTGCAGTGTTGTGTTTCCAAACGGTCCTGTAATAACATAACTAATAATCGTTAGCTTACAAGAAAAATATTGAAACAATTTATTAAGAGTGAAAATTTATTTAGAAATATAATATTAATAAAAAAACAATTACTAGCCTGCTAATGTCTCGGTAATAACTTGTCGCATTCCTTGATCCATCGGGCCATACATTATGCTAACATCTGGGAACTCTCTGCTCAGATTTCTCATAGCTGCTTGGAGATTGTCGTTTTTATATGCGATTAGATCATTTACGCTTTTAAGACAACCCAAATTATCGTAAGCGTCGGGATGATTGCTACGCAGTGCAGTTAAGATATATGGAAAGCAACCAATTAGAGCATTTCCAGGAATTATTATATGCCTCGCACCCATTTTGATCAGCTCCTGCACGATGCATCAATATTCAGTTAAATTTGGTTAGTGTTGAAAATATTTTTTATTTTATTTTAAGGTTTTCCATGACACTTGTGAATTTAATTTTTGCCCGAGTAAATTTATTTGATAAGTAAAAAATTATTGGTGATACATATAATTAGCTAATTAATTGGATACATATAATACTTACTCTTGTTGCACTTATTTGAGCTTCTGTTATATAAGACACATAAGTCCGTACTTCTCTAATTGATTTGCCCTGAATCAGTGAGTAACCTACGTCATTGGCTTCAATATCTCCCAGCAGTATTAGAGAATTTCCCAACCTATTTGCACAGTCTGATCATACAGAAACAAATATAATTAATGAATTATATTATATGTTAGAAGGTCGATTAACACACACACACACACACATAAATATATTTGCACTAATATAATCAATTACCTGTTGGCGATGTGCAAACGGATTTTAGGTGTGCTTTAAACCAACTTAGTTGAAGGCTAAGAGGAACCGCATACGGTGGAATTTTGACGCCTCTCGATTTGAAAA